CAACAACAAATAACAGAAGTGGTGGATATTCTAGTCCAACTCCTAAAATGATGGTATGAAAAATTAAAGCTTCTGATTAAACATTTCTAATGGGTGAAAAATAAATGTAATTAGATCTGGTACTTTTCTTGTATCTGCCTGCAATATCGTAAAATCGTAAGAACAAATATTGTGATTCTCATGTAAATTAGAGATTATTTCATAATGCCAATTAATAATTAGTGTCAATAATAATAATTAATAATATGCTCATAAATAATAATCATGCTCATAAATAATAATCATGCTCATAAATAATAATAATTAGTGTTTATTTTATGAAGTTTCAACTCATGATGAAATAAGGTTTCCAGATTTGCGGACAGATAAAGGAAAAGTACCTTAGATTCAGGTATTTTGAAAGCTATTAAGGTTATAGCTTAACATTTAAGTATCTAAATCGTATAAATCCTTTAGCTCAGTGGTCTTCAAACTTTGTCCCGCGGAACCCCGGACTTGCGAAAGTCAAAATAAAAATTTGACCCATGTCAAAGCGAATGACATGAAATGCTTTGCAAAGGTAAACAATTTTCCATTAGGAAAATGAATTACATTTAGATGACAGAGTAAAAAATTATGTAAGGGCGCTCATGTTTCAGTTGAAGAAAACTATAAGAGAATATTTCCCAGCAGAGAAAACTACATATGACTGGATACAAAGTCCTTTCGAATACTGCGGTAGCCCCACAGCGGCTAAGCGATAAAAGACGCTGAACTCTGCCAGTTCAGCCCCGGAGAACGGGTTAGCTGCATGGGCATATTCGTGGTTTTCCACATGTGTAACGTGTTACGAACTAGCTTCCCCTAAAAAGTCCTCCATGGACCATCCCCTTCCTTCCGTGTACTGCCAAATGGCGGAATACGTAATATTTTTTTTTTAAAAAGAGTACTTATCGCCATTTCATCAGATTTGATGTTAAAATGTAAATTTAAAAAGCAGCTTCAAATTTTTGGTTGCAGATTAATGCAAGACGCTCAAAAAGTTCTCACACAGCTATAAATATTTTAATGCCTTTCAGAACGACGTATATAAAGCGAAAAAGCTTTCTCAACGTATGTGACATCAAAACAGAATATAAAAACAAATTAAATTCAGCATGTAAAACGTGACTGCAGAAAACATCAATAGAGCCAGCCTTCGACAGTTTTTGCAAAAAATATGTATGCATACCCCAGTTACTGAATATAATGCTAGGGTTTGTAATACCCGGAGTAAGCTATTAATGCTACTAATGAGTAAATTACATTAATTTTATGTTATTTTTTTACAAAAAATTCAACTCTTTTTTTTTGTCTTCATATAAAGTATCTATAACATACCGATCTGCTTTAAATATTACTTTAAGATAGATTTTTTTTTTTTTTTTTTTTTTTTTAAAGTAGGATCAGGTTCCCCTGAAAAAAACCTTATAGTTAGTTCTAAGTGTGTCCTGAGTCGACAAAGTTTGAAGACCACTGCTCTAGATATTCCAGCAAGAATATAAAATTTTAAAAATCACGCTATCTTAAAAGTACTTTGCTAGTGCAGGATCAGGTTTTTTTAACATAATTTAGGAATATTGTTTAGTCAGTAATACTATCTATCCGAATTCAAGGTCTGCGTTAAGAATATTCTAACGTTGCCAATAATTATTGTGAAAAAACTTCAGAACATTAAAATTATAAAAAAATTAATAATTATTTATTAATAAATAAAAATAAAAAAAAGTTAAGCAAAATCTTTTCACGGCTATTTAAAAAAACTTTCAAATATTACTATTTATTCTATAGAATATGAATTAAATAATCAAGTAAATTTTATAAACAATTATTGTAGATTTTACTTCAGTAAAAGAAAGATTAAATTAAAAACGAACTTTAGTATTAGTTCAATGCATTTTATATTAATTATGCTGTTATTATATTATTTCAAAGTTATATTTTGCATTATTTCAAAGTAATCTGCTATTTATCAAAAAGGTACTTCTTAATTAAAAAATTATAAATAATTATATGCATTATTTTTCTGAATATATGAAGGTACATAAAACTGACACAAGAGTTATATATGATTTAGTATAATGTCTTTTGTTGAATATAAAATTGTACAGCTGTACATAATTTAATTATATAGGGAAGGTATTTATTTTTCTGCCCCAGGGAAAAAATTACATAGGCACGCTCTGCATGTCACTGAGACTAAAAAAGATGAAAATAAAATTAACAATACCCGTTTAATTATTTACAAAGTCCAATAATTAATTTCCACAATAGAATACATTTACTATCTAAATTTCTTTTTATATTTTAAGAGAGTAAATTTTTCATTTATATACCGTCTATTAAATTAAATTTTATCTTTGGGCAATAGCGCAGGATTTCATTAATTCCTTTTTAAATAAGTTTTCATTAATTTTAAAGTTTTTTCCTTGTTTTTCTTTACGAAAATTATATACATATAATATTATATTTGTAAAATTAGAAGTCTCGAAGCCCAATGGAAGACTGTCGGGAAGAAAGGAAACAACAAATTAAAATAAATAATAAATAAATAAATAAAAATAAACAAAAAAAAAAATAATCTGAAAGCGTTCAGATTTTATATTACACTGAAAAGGTTTTTTTTTTTTTTTTTTTTTTTTTTTTAAATGTTTTGTGTGTTACCTTTATTTATTAAATATCACGTTCTTCCCACTTAAACCATAAAATTCAATTCAACTAAAAATATCACAAAATATTTAAAAGAGCGTATCTTTAAAATTTCCGATGCTTAGCTTTGCGTGCTGTAGATAAAAATGCTTTTTTTTTTCTCTTTTTTTTCCGTACAGTGTTGCCATTGCCCGAATTGAAATCATTGAGTTTCTTAATCAAAACTCATAAATGCTTCACAAAATATGAAATAGATAATAAAACAAATTCCAAATTCGGGCTTCCAGATGCCCATATTTGGGGTCGAGACGTACGCTATTCAGAAATGGATTGCTCTAGGTACCGTTGTTTTATCACAATGCGGGAAACATACGTACATTTATGCTGACTCTTCATTATTTAATTTCTTTAAGTATAATACAGGGTTCTAATATTTGGTGGCAATAATTTAAAAAGTGATTCATAATTTATAGTGAATCAACACAAAATGCTGAAACGAAATTAATAGTCCTTCTAAATACATTGCCTCTTTGAACTAATAAATAAAAATTAAAATAATTAAGTAATTAAATGAAATGTAAAGAAATAAATTATTAAAAAGAAATGCAAAGAAATAAACAGAAATTTAATAAATTGTTAAATAAATTATAAATAGTTAAATAAAATTATCGGACCTCGACGGCTCCGACTGGACTCCGACTTTCGGGCTCCGACTGGAGTTATAATTCCACTCAACTGGAAGTTCCTCAGCCGATCTAAGTTTGAATTTAAGCCCTCATTATACATATAATATACATTTTTGTATCTAACATCAAGGGATGTCAGATACGAAAACCATTCTTTTTTTCAGCACATCAATGAAAAAATATAAAACAATTAAACGAGAGTCACATAGGAAGATATTGAAAATTCTAGAAAGAGTTTCAGGGTACGGAAGGAAATTTTAACGAAAAGTGTAAAAGAGGGAAAGAGTCCAAGGCTCTCTGATCCCGATGCGCTGTCAGTATAATTCTAGCAGTCAAGTAGAAATTTTCCCTCAATACGATCCGATAACAACGTGAGAATAAATGTAGGACTTCTCTATACAAGTGACAGCAGTGGTTTTCCGCGTTTGGTTATATCGTTCAAAAAGTGTACAGGAACTCTGCGGTCACTATCATGGTAGTGCATAACCAGGGTGATGCCTTTTAGCCATTTCAGGGAAGAAAAATTAACCTGCTCTCATAAATTCATTGTATTTCCTGGGAAATAAGCTTTTGGCATGAGGGTGAGGGCTTTTCTTTCCTTAAAAGTCTTAGTCTCTGTCCAAGGTTTCTGTCCATGGGAAAGACAGGCCTGCATTCAGAAGTTAGAACCGATTTTAAGGCATATTTATTATTAAAATAAAATCTGTTTGCTGAAATTGTGGTTAACTGCCATAAAAGAAGTGCTGAAGCCCTTTTATTTAAGGCTCTTGTGCGTTCCGGGTAAAATTATGATTTATCTCAAAAACTGAGAAGTGCCGGATCCGGAGCTTCACCGGGCTCCCGCTCAATTTTAGCTCTGTATGTAATATGTATAATAATATGTTTTTATTTAAAACTCGTAAAATAACTAACCAAATAAAATAATACAAATAATTTATCATACAGTTTCTTGGGAACAAGGGATAAAATTCATCTGCAATTTCATATCACGAATAATAACAGCGAGGGGTTGCCAATGAAAATTTGGGATAAACAGTAGGTGTCTGCATTTTCTAAAGTTCATTTACTGCTGCTGTATTTCTAATAGTTTGCAGAGAAGGAAGAACAATTCTTGATTTCGTTTTATTTTATTTCACTCTAAACTCATAATTTATTTTTATAATTATAATTTTATAATCTATTTTCATATCTATCTTTTTTTTTTTTTTTTTAATTTTTAAAATCTAATTTCTTTTGATTGAAATTTTGACTTATCCCCTACACTCCACACCTAACTTTTGTTTCCCTTTCAACAGATCTATTCTATGATTCTTAACTGATATAATGTATAAGAAGTGTTTTATTTCGACTTTTAGTGCTATTTTGGTTTGATTTTAAGAATCAAAACATCTCCACAACTTTTTCCTTGATGAACAAACTTGAATCTCATCGTACGAGAACAGCGACACCTGACGGTAATTCGAATCACACGTCGAAAAATTTTCTATTTATTTTATTTTTTTTTTCAATTTTTTTTTTTTTTTTTTTGTGGCACTCAACTACAGCGTTACAAACGTAGTAAAATGTCTATCCGCCAGATGGCAGCACCATGCCTATGAGTCTTTTCCAGAGTTCCGGGTGACGCCGAAGCCATTTCCGGTGCGCAGGCCAGGCAAGCGCAAAGAAAAATGAGGGAGGGTCGACACCGAACATTTGTGTGTGTCTCGTCGATCAGTTCATTACAGAACTATTCATCGTAACGAGTCGCGTTCACCGTGTTATGCTCGTTGCATCGCAACTTGTGCGTTCCGCTGCTATCACCAGCCGAGCGTTCTGCAGATAGCAGCTCTGTTTGCTACTGAACAGACATCTTGTAGTACTTTCGGAGTTAAAACCGTGTTTTCCCCCTCTCTAGCCTCAACAAAGCCGAAGATCCTTACGGTCTAGGCCTAGCTTCCAATCATCTATTCTCTTACATCAGAATTTCTGAGATTTTTGCAGTGTCAACTTAACTTCAAAAAAACTCACTGGATTGTCTTGTTGAAAATTTCTCTGTGAACTCATTCGTCGCTTACGCTTGGTGGATCTTCTCGAAGTCAGGTAAGTTTTTAACAACCTTTGTGCGTTGTTGACATGACAAGTGGTTTGGAAAAGTGTGGTCAGTTGCCCTTGAGCGATGCATTGTTGTGGAGTGTCACACTTAAAACGCGGCGTCTGTTAACTCGTTACGTTAACCACAGTTGGATTGTCATTGGATGATTTTATGTGATGGTATCGTTTGTTGTGAAAGATAAGATGTTTACTTCAGATAACCAGCTTATATCGTACTGAGAAAATCAGCTACAAATAACTTAATTAGTTTCTTAAAACTAATACGGATACATTTTATGGTGATAATTCCTAACGCGTATAAAATGAAATATTTAAAATGCATTACAATTTCATTGAATTATAATTAAGTTGTTTAAAATATTTATTACAAAATAGGGAAACATATTGATGAAATTCAGGAATACCGTGCATTTAAAATGCTGAGTAAACAAAGAAAAGATCATTTAAAATTATGTGTAATAAAATTCCAAAAATGTATGTAATTAATTTTTTTGTGTGAAGTAAACTTAAGAGCTCTGAAATTATTTAGTACATTTAACGTAGCACTTAAGAAAATTAATTAAGAATTTGATATCTGTATTTTTATATTTATTTTACAAAACAAGATAGTTTTCCATAATGCCTTTTATACATTAGAGGTAATTTACAACTTCATATAATACTACAACTTTTGATTCAATACCTGTAAATAATGTCAGAAATATATAAACATGTCTAGGTGATGAAAGTTTATTATTTTAGGTAGAGAACAATTTTCTTACCAACAAAATTGTATACTTTCCATAGTAAGTAAGTCATTGAATAATCTGCCATATCTTTCATATTTTGTTAATGTATTAATGAAAATTATATATATATATAATTTTGTAATAAGCTGGGAATGCTTAAAAAGGGCTATTATTTTATGAAATTAATGTTAATATATAATGGAATAAACTACTCACTTCAAATACATTTGTATTCTGTTAAATACTACTAGAAAACAAATCAGAATTCTTCATATTTGGTTATATTTTCAACTCTTTGTTTATACTAACTTTTGAATTATATCTTTCTTGTAAAGAATATTTTGATCAAAAGAGATATTCTTATGTAATCAGGAAAAAATATGCTAATTTCTTCATAAATAATACAAATTTTATTAATTTTATAAATTCCATCTCTTTGTCTTAGATACATTTCTTCAAAAATGTAAATAAAAATGGTATTTTGGTTGGTTTCACAGCTTTATGCTGGATAATCATACTCAAAAGTGAACTTTAAGCTGATATATTAATGTTCCCTAATCATTCATATATATCAATTTTAAGAAGAATATTTGAATTCTGAGATTGCACAAATCTTGGTAAAGATTTAAAATTTGAATCTTTCGATTCTGAACCTGAAAAATCATTAACTATTTTAATTTAAAACTTTTGAAAGATTATCTTTATTGATATCTAGAAAAAGCTTCTTTTAAAAAAAAAAGTGAACTGGATCTCAAATACCATATGGCAATGCTAAATACCACATTATTAATTTTCAGGAGAGAATTAAAAAATTCCATGTTTATTTGTGAATATATTAACTCTGAAAATATTCCTCTCTCCTGCTTTTACTTTGATCTAGAAAGATTCTGTAAAACTAAGACATTTGAAATGTTATTCAAATGTTATCATCAAAGTATTTTGGAAAAATGAACCTCAAAATTTAAGAATTTTAATTGTTTATTTCATTGACTAAATTTCATTTGTATATTTTTAAGTTTGTGTTATACACAGATTTAAAATCTTTTTTGATCATAAATTCTTAATATTAAACAAAATTTATTATTTTTTCTTCTGTGAAAGATTTGAGATCCTTTTAAAAAGAAATTTAGAATGTATCGCATCTCTAACCATCCTATTTAAATATATTTTGGTACATTATATTGCATATATCTAATACAGTATGATAGCTGATAAGCTATTTTGATAAGTCCTATAATTGACACCACTATCAGTTCAAGGTTTGTTATTTTAATTTGAAATTATGAACTTCAAATATGAGGCCATATTAAGTTTTGTAAGATTCTTGAAATCATCCAATGAGCATTGAGCAAGTACTAACTTCTGATTTTCAGTGACTAATAGTTTTAAATATTTTTGCAGTACTTATTTGTTATAATTAATTTGCTGCTGCTATTAGGCTGATGCTTTCTTCAAATATATATAAAAAAATTTATAACAGAAAATATACTAAATCTGAAAAATTTTTTGATTACCTATTTTTAAACAGTTAAGTTTTTTAGTATACAGCAATAGGCATAATTAATTTATCTAACGCCTAACTTTTTAGTACATGTGAAAGAAGTGATGTGACACTAAATTTTTATTATTTATTTTCTGTCACAACAATAAATTATAGAACATATTCATTTAGTGTTTAATCAAGAAACATAATTATTTATTTGAAGTATTTTCCCTATGTAAATATTTCTCATACTATTAGAATTTTTGTTTGAAATATTTTATGATTTATTTTATCTCATTAATAATGCTGTGTCTGATTGTTAAGTATAAACTACATTTGATCAAAAACTTCATTTTTTTCCCATGATCAAATGTAGTTTATAGTCGTTTTTAGTTAGATATGCATATATTTTTCAAAAATAGGTATAAAATAATTGTTAGGCATTGAACTTTATTCTGATAATGAAGTTGGCTTTCTGTGGCTTCTTTGATATTTAATCATGCGACGGAAGCTGCTGACATGAAGCTGTTATGTATGTTTCACATTGATGCATTTGAGGTGATATATCTTTTTAAAAATTCAATAGCTAAAGTCAATATTCATTATTTGGGTAATGCTAGTTGAAAGTTTTATTAGGAGCTTACTGTTTTTTATTTAGTATGCCCATTTACAATGATTTAAATTTCTTTCTGTGTAAAAAGTAATGGAAGAATTAAAATTCACATTTATTAGCTAAATAGTTAAATTAAATGCTAAGCTATGGTTAATGGGTTCAAGACGTGTCTGACTTAAGAGAAGTGTATTTATGGAAGTTTTTTTTTTTTTTTTTAAGGTGCTGTCTTGCATAAGCAACCTGTTCCAAATACTTTTTTTTACCGGATTTGCAACTAAGATCAGATAAGGTTATTTTAATATGGCAAAAGATATAAAGGTTATCTGTGTAAGGGAAGGGATGCTTTCATGGAGAACTTTAAAGGAAACTGCCTCATATTCACATTACACATGAGGAAAACCAACCATACATCCAGCCCATTCGTCTGGCTTCAAACTGGGTCAAACTATCAATATTCAAAGGTCTAAATCACTTGGCTATTGGTTGGGCAGACTTGCCGGTGAAAGACATGGAATTTTTTCACCCGTCCACAAAAAGATGTAGATTGTTCTTATCTTTTTAATCAATCAGCAACTTGAATCAAAACAGCAGCTCTATGGTTTCTATGTTGGTAACCTCAGAAATCTGCAATGGTTATTTATTTTTCAATCATGCAAAGGAACACAAAAAGTTATCCTTTCCAAACATTTTCGTCTGATATATCAACTTTAAAAGGAAGCTAGTTCATTACTTACACTAAGAGAATCCGTGAAAATACCCATTCATCCAATTTATTTCACCAAGAAAATGGGATCGAAATTATCTCTGTTTGGGTGTTCTAATTGCTTTACTACTAACAGTTTGTTAATCAGAAAGAATAAACTGCATATTACTATTCAGATGCATATGCACCTGTGTGCACACATACCTGCCGGTGAAACCTTTAGTAAGAAAAAAATCTGAATAACACCTGTAAATAAATAAAAAAAAAAAAAAAAAAAAAAAAAAAAAAATCCAATTAAAACCATATGTATCATATGTTTCAAATTTTTTGTAATATTGATTTCTAACAAATTCCATTTTCTTCATAAAATGATAAGAAAATTGTTTTCAGCTAAAATGCTTGGTATAAGTATCATAACACGTATTAAATTTTTTATTCAATTTTAACTTGAAAATAGAAAATTCTTTTGATTGATTATGCATTCTATGTTAAATGTTCGGTTATCTGTATTTATTAATGCAAACCCATCTCACTGCTCAAGTTTAGTTATTAAACTAATATACAAAAATCATATGTACTGTATTGATTTTGACTTAATTTAAACAAAAATACGGATGCATGGAAATCACTGTCATTAGTTTAAAATCTTTGTTTTAAAGATTTTGAAAATATACAGTTTTCTTAGAAATTTATGTTTTAAACTAATTATGATTGCTTTTATTTTACTTGTAGCTTTTTGTCATTGCTTGCTAGGATATAAATTTCCTCAAAAATTGACCTCTGGAGAATTAGTCCTTTACACTAATTAATAGGAGCAGTGGCATAAATCCATTTAGACCCTTTGTCAAAACTAAATGGAAGGGAAAATGGTACTTACGTACTATCCTGTCGACTGAGAAACTGTCGCCAAGCAGCACAATTTAGTGCCAGTTGTGTATAAAGCATGACACCAAAGCACACTCATTACATCTGTGCTTTCGTTTCCTGTAACCCCGGCTGATTCTCGAAAAGCCATTTTTAGTTCTTGTAAACAGAAATACAAATTAGCCATTATGAATATATATTTCCATTTAGTAAAAAAGTATGTGATATGTGTGTGTTAAGAGAAAAGGATTAACAAAATTTGGTAGTAATTTGACATAGTTGGTTTTTCTTTATTTCACATAAAAAATGTTTGGCATTCACTAAAATAGCTTTGAAAGGTTTCTTTTTATCCTAAGCTACAGTTTTTTGCCGCTACATAAATTCCTTTAAATACGATTTAATATGGCGTCTTGTGCCATTCTGAAGAGCCTCATACCTGCTCGATATTTTGTGTATTAATACCGGAATGGGCAAATTGGAACACTGGCAGTTACTCAGTAATATATTATATTTTTGTAAGAAACTTAATAACATCACCTTCATTGTTTAGTAGATCCAACAGACCCATAATCAAACTATAAACTCAAGAAAGAAAAA